TCCCTTAGAAAAGGTCTTAAGAGGCAGCTCCGTAGTTTACTTCAGGTTATGGCAGATTTGCCTGATTTTTGCCTGTTTACTCATTGTGCTCCCGCTCTGCAAACAGCGTTGTGTTTACCAGAGTGATTCCAACCTACGCATTCCTGATAAGAGATCTGTGGAAAGCATGCTCAGTACTGGGGAGGTCAGTCTCCCTGCATGCACGGACTCTGGACAGGACTGTTGCACAAGAGACTGCACAACATACTCTTCCAAAAACCTGTTTACCTGAGCAAGTGGAACAAAAGAGAGTCATGGATTTCCCGTGGCAGTCTCTCTCATGGACCACTGACTGATGGCTGCTTCTCAATGACTAGGTGAAAATATGAGTTACAATGAAGCCAAATTCTTAAGCTGTTACTCAGAACCAGCTAAAGCGTCAGCCATTAGCTCTGACCACTTTTGAAAACTTGGCCTGCATCAGTTGCGAGGGAGACCTGTGCCAGAGCTGTGAAAAGCCCCACACCTTAATTCTTGTCCTGTATCTTAGTTAAATCTTCCCCATTTCCTACTTACATTAACTATATTTAAAGATTTTTAGAGGTCTGGCAGTGTTTTCATTGTCCATAGTCCATGCTAAGGCATATAAGGACAGGCAGGATTCTGTTCTTAAATCCTGCTTTGAGAATCTCCCCATAATATGTCCCTGGAAGAAACTCCCATTTTATTTATTTTGATCTGACCTTTGGCTGTGCCTGGACGCCTGGTCATGGGCTGGAACTTCACTGGCCGAATACCAACACAGCAATTTGCGGCTACATGTAGGTGACTTCGGTTCGTTTTAGCCATATCTCTGCAGCGTTTCCCCGACCCAGTCATTTGTGCTTCAGCTGATCAGGGTGCAAACTGAACTCTGGCTTGCCTAGCTCAGCCTGCCAAGAAAAGCATTAGCTAAGCAGAAGCAGCCTGTAGCTGAGGGCAAAGGTGAGAATGCCCTGAAGTATCCACATCTCAACAGAGAAAGGATGCAGCTACAATCAAAACAGGGAGGGGGGACCGGGCAGACACACAGCCGCCTTATGTGACCCGCGTGAGCATGCGACACTGCATACTGAGAAAGGCCCCATTGTCTCCGCGCGTTAACCCTGCCTATTTTGCCTGAGGTGCAGAACAAATGCAAGAAGCCCACGTATATGGCCTTGGTGACATTTTTCTGTTTCTGGGAGTTGCTTTACTGGGCTCAGAGGTCTTGAATGTGTTGGGCTATTGTGTACATATCTGCCCGAGCCAAGCAGAAATATTTGTACAGCTGGCTTTGTAGGTGCCCTCTCCATAACGTGCAGGCTAGGGGGTAGAGAGAGCGCTTGAATGCTGTGGCACCTCTCTAAAAAGAGAATTCACTGCTTAGTCATGGCTGGGAGACAGAATAAAGAGGCTGAAGTTCTTCCTCTGTGTCTAGGAAGAAGTGGGAAGTAGAGGCGGGGAGGAGACCTTTAACCATCACCAGCACCAGCCAGATAGCATGACCCTGTTTGCATTGCTCCCTGGTTAGTGATTTAGATTAGAGCTTGACCGATGTGACCTGCGTTTCCAGACCTTGTTTTGAACATAGCTGATGCAAGCCTTGCTCTGGCAGAAACCCTTCTGTATCCGTGAGTATGCCTCAAGGAGACAGGACAGTGTTTCTTATCTGTTTTACAGGGAATGGTCTCGTCAGAGTTCTTGAAGTGGATGTGCACAATCCTTTCTTGTTCTGACAGGTCTTTGCCACATTGATAAATTCCATCTATTAAGAAAACACACCCATGGGCTATAGATGACCTGATAAAATGAACTTGACTTCCAGTTACAACTGCCTTTCTTTTCAGGCTATCTTTTATATCTGTCTCTGCACTGGCAAGAATGATTGGACTGTGGGCCTTGACGCTCAAAGACCTAACGTTAGAGATACTAGTTCTGCATTTCCCTGAACTTTGGCAGCATTCAAAAGACTGGATTTACAGCTTGACCTCCATATCTACCAAGGGTCTGTTTGGCAAAGTAATTTTCTAGAGTGACAGGCTCTCTGATTCTTGATTCAGTTCAGCACTGTCTGGTGTGGCTCTTTTGGGGGAAGAGGCAGCTTCCTTCCCCTACAGTGAATCCAGGGCCCAGCCAGGAGGCAGCTTGGCTCTTGGCATCCATTCGTACAGTCCTTTAGCAGTCCTGGCTGCTGTCAGCAAGAGGCAGTTCTAGCAATAGGGAGTGCCTCGAGCATAATGCTCTTTTCCTTTATTTACCCCTTACCTCAGCGCCTAGCAGGAACAAGCTCTGAACCTACTGGTAGGACAATAGCTTTGGTCACTTCTGAAATTGTGGGCCTACATATAAAACCTCTCCTTTCCCATGGGAAGGCTGAGATAACTCCCATGTTTAGCTCCAGTCCTGTGTCTTGATTGAATTTTTTCCATTCCCCGTTGACATAATGGTGGAGCTCTAAAAGCGCTGACAAATTTCGTGGATATGCCTGTATTTGTGAAAGAGCCAGGCGCAGCCATGGAGAGGACGACAGGTCTGTGCACCTGACACTGATGTGCGCAGCTATCTTAGCATTTCCTTATTTCTTCCCCTACTAAATATACTCTTTTAGAATGAATATGAAGAATTCACTTAATATTTTCTTCATGCCCTGTACCCAGCGAGCCTGTCTAGGCCCTACTCTTTCTTTGTTGCTGTCTTGTGCATTGTCATTCCAGCTCCCTAAGGGGGAAAACAAGTGCAGTTTGCAGGCCAGTGCTCTGTATTTCTGCATGCATGTGCATTTATTTCCCGAGTCTTGCTGTTTTCAGAGCATTAACCCAGCCGACCAACTTCTTATCGGTTTGACAGGCTGTAACTGTTGTCCTGGTGACCACGGTAGTTGCGCTATCATTACATACAGAAGGCAGCAGAAGAGGTGCCTTGACCTGTGGGTGTAGCTGTGTGTGCGCATGATATGCTATTAAGTCACTTGGATACGTGAAGATAAGATCCAATCTGGACCTAAGTATCTGAAAAATTAAGCAAAAACAAAACAGAGAAGCATACAAAGTTAATAACTATAAAAGAAGAAGTGAAAATGTGCGTAGGAGTTGCAAATGCTCAGCTCTTCTCAGCATCTGATCTGTGTTCCAGTCATTTAGTGCATTTGTATTTGAGAGATGCTTTCCTGCCAGCCTGCTGTCTCTTTGCCTGTCTTTTTCTACCCCCTCCCCCATTTTCTCCATTTCTTTGACTTATGGACATGAAAAAGAATAATGTTAGTAGCACTTCTGAGTCATGTTTTTCACCCAGGCACACCATGCTTCACCCATTCATATGCACATTCCTCAATGATGTCGACTCCCCTTCACTAATTACTTACTTATGCGAGCTGCTCAGGCCGGATTTGTGGTGTCTTGTCGCAGATCAGCTCCTGTTGTGCTAAGTGCTAGAAGAAAGTCCTGATTTGAACAGCATCCAGTCCAAGTAGAAGACAAGGAAGAACAGATGGAAAGAGATAGAGAAGGGAGCACAAAGAAACAGT